CCAGTCATGTCAATCCAATGTTAATCCTGATAAACAATGCCTGGATGACCTGCTGACATGACAAAGCATGCCACAATGATACTCCTCTGAATATAACCCCATTACAAATGACAGTTCCCCAATGTTGTTGGAATGTAAATACAGCACTGGTGAACCTGGGTAGCACCATTGATCACATATAGCCATAGAAGGAAGGGAGGAAAAATAGAAAAAAGAGGGACAGAGAAATACAAATCTGGTAGGGTTTCTAAACTTAGGAAGGGATCCAAACCTTCCCCACCCTATCCAAAAGTGGGAACATAGCTAGAAATACACATTATGTGATTAGTATGTAGCTAGGATTCACCTTCAATTTATGTAAGATAATTTCTGATTATTGGCTGCCCATGTTTGATTTATCCAACAGTCTCTGTGTTCAAGAACTACCATCGCTGAGTCATTGATACTGTATGCCTACTTGTTTAGATACTGTAAAAATAGTCCTTAGCATAACAGGAATGTCCTCTTACCTTACTTGTACAAAGATAACAGTGGTAAAGTAAACTAGGAATATAAAAGAGTTAGTTCCTTCTAGTAATTCCTAGCACTCAGTTTATTTGATTCAGAGGCCATTAAGTTTAACACCGAACTTTTATCTCTATCACATGCAAAGGTTAGAGAGTTTTAGCAAGCAAAAATAATCATCAGTAAAAAGTTATGTCTATAAAATTTCACAAAGTTTATTTTTGGACTTCAAAGAATGATATTGCAGTTACAAAGAAACACTCACAAACACAAGAACAAAATCTGTACAATATAAAACATTTAGAGGGTAACTTGCACAAAAGATACAATCTATCTATCTATCTATCTATCTATCTATCCTATCCAGTCAGGTCCATAAATATTGGGACATTGGCACAATTCTAAAATGTTTGGCTCTATACACCACCACAATGGATTTGAAATGAAATGAACAAGAAGTGCTTTAACTGCAGACCGTCAGCTTTAATTTGAGGGTATTTGGTCCCACTTGTTAAGGGACCAAAAGTAATGGGACAGAATAATAATCATAAATCAAACTTTCACTTTTTAATACTTGGTTGTAAGTCCAACTATCTATCTATCTATCTATCTATCTATCTATCTATCTATCTATCTATCTATCTATCTATCTATCTATCTGTCTGTCTGTCTGTCTATCTATCTATCTATCTATCTATCTATCTATCTATCTATCTATCTGTCTGTCTGTCTGTCTATCTATCTATCTATCTATCTATCTGTCGATCAACTTAGGTACATTCAGACTGCTTCCCAGGGACCGGCCAAGATTCGAACCATGTTTAGAATGTACCCAAGTTAATTGATTGAACTGCCTATGGCCATCTTTAGTCTTTTTCTTTATCTGATTATATATATTTTTTATAACAGACTTAGTGGTACTATGTGCTTCAGAATGTACTGTCAATACATGCTTTTGACATTCATTAGCATATATTTTAAGCACTTTATTGTTCTTCTTGACATATATGCGTACAAGAGGAGCATCTACTAAATGCTTTTAGCATATTTATAAATACTACATTATATTTGTGGAAAAATAGGAGTGAGAGAGTAAACGAATCATTAAATCATCATAGACTGAAAAGTTGTCTCTTTTACAAGAGTGACTCATATTGATGTGCTCTTTCAATAGATCAAAAGCATAAAGACTGTTTGCATGTACAGGAAAATAAATATTTGATCCTCTGCAGATTTTGTAAGTTTGCCCACTTAAAAAGAAATGAAGGGTCTGTAATTTTTATCATAGGTGTATTTAAGTGATAGAGACAGAATATCGACCAAAAATCCAGAATAAAACACATGATGCAAATGTTATCAATTGAGTTGCAATACAGTGAGTAAAATAAGTATTTGATCCCCAAGCAAAACATGACTTAGCACTTGGTGGAGAAACCCTTGTTGGCAAGCACAGAGGTAAGACTTTTCTTGTAGTTGGTTACCAGGTTTGCACACATCTCAGGAGGGATTCTGGTCCACTCTTCTTTACAGGTCTTCTCTAAATCCTTAAGACTTCTTGGTTGTCACTTGACAACTCGTAGTTTCAGCTCCCTCCATAAATTTTCTATAGGAATATGGTTTGGAGACTGGCTAGGCCACTCCATGACCTTATTGTGCTTCTTCTTGAGCCACTCCTTTGTTGCCTTGGCGGTATGTTTTGGGTCACTGTCATGCTGGAAGACCCATCCACCACCCATCTTCAGTGTTCCAGCTGAGGGAAGAAGGTTCTCATCCAAGATTTTATAATATATGGCCCCGTCTATTGACCCCTCAATGTGGCAAAGTTGGCCTGTACCTCTAGCAGTGAAACAGCCCCAAAGCATAATGTTTCTACCCCGTCCGTGCTTGGCTGTAGGGATGGTGTTCTTACAGTCATAGTGAGCATTTTTCTTCCTCCAAACATGGCGAGTCGAGTTAATGCCAAAGAGCTCAATTTTGATCTCATCTGACCACAGCACTTTCTCACAATCCTTCTTTGAATCATTGGAAAACTTCAGATGGGCCTCTACATGTGCCTTCTCGAGGATGGGGACATTGCAGGTACTACAGGAGTTCAATCCATGGCGGCGTATTGCCGCCAATGGTTTGTTTGGTGATTGTGGTTCTAACTGCCTTGAGATCATTCACAGGCTCCTCCCGTGCTGTTCCGGGTTGATCCTACATTTTTTTCATGATCATCCTTACAATATGAGGCGACATCTTGCATGGAGCTCCAGACCGAGGACGATTGATGGTTATTTTGTGTTTCTTCCATTTGCGAATAAAACGCTCCAACAGTTGTCTCCTTCTCACCAAGCCTCTTGCTGATGGTCTTGTTGCCCATTCTAGCCTTCTGCAGGTCTACAGTCTTGCCTCTGACATCCTTTGACAGCTCTTTGGTCTTGCCCATGGTGGTGCTCAAGAAAGAGATTCTGTGGACAAGTGTCTTTTCTACCTTTAATGAGTTGTCGTTAGGAGCACCTTCTTAAATTTGCAGGACTAATCTGTGTGCCACATAAGCACATAGCCAGTCTGTGGGAGCCAGAATTATTGTTGGTTGGTAGGGGATCAAATACTTTTTTTACTCACTGAACTGCAACTGCATTTATAACATTTGTATTATATGTTTTTTTCTGGATTTATGGTTGATATTCTGTCTCTGTCATTTAAAAACACCTATGATAAACAATTATAGACCCTTCATTTCTTTGTAAGTGGGCAAACTTACTAAATCTGCAGGGGATCAAATAATAATTTCCCCCACTGTATAGAAAAGTAAGTGATAACATAAATGTATTTGTTATAAATTTGAACTGAAATTGCAGAAACATTGTCATTACATCTGGCTTAAGCAAAACAATTGTCCTCCACTGGACGTTGTCCAATCTCTGGGCTAGTTCTTTGTCATTGGTATAGATGATTTATTTTCAGTGTCCCAGAACTAGCCTAGGTCAGGAAGAAGAGAAATGGCCATTTTAACTGTGCCTTTTCTACTATGACATATCCTACCAGGGTCGAGTTAAAAATATTTTTGAACTGGAGTTTCTCTTTAAAATAAACCAATGAAAGCAAATAATCTTGACTTTAGTATATCATGCAATAGCAGGCACCACAGTGGTCTGCACATACCTTCAGTCATATGTTAAAGTGTCTGCCAGTTGCCCAGGCACTGCCCCTACCAGACAAGTTTGAGTTTGCTTTAAATTAAAAGCTAAACTTCCAGTGGAGTGGACATTTTAGCACAACTTCTGCTTTCCTTGGCCATCCACACAATGCAAGGCTTGCACAGAGAATGCTGGCTAATTGACTGATTTTTGAACATCTGTATCAGGACATATTCCCTTCTAAGACTGCAAGGGCAGCTTGGTGCGGTGGAAAAAATAGATGGTTGAGTCATGGTTTTACCATCTTCCAACCACCCATCAAAAGCCTACAATACAACCTAGGGGGTGTTTCATATGTGATGCTTTGCATTGCAGCTGTGGTAAATTAAACATGGCATGGCTAGCTGACTGCCAGTCATACTTGGCCTGTCAGCACCTGTGGTAATGCGCCCTTCTAGGTAGTCAAATTGGGGTTCCCCAGGGCGCAGAGGCTACGCCCCAGCCTGCTTCTTCACCAGAGCCCCTGATGGTGGGGATGGAGCTGGGACCAGGTCACAGCCCCCGGGTACGCCCAGCTGAGGATGAGGAGACCAGTCACGGGAGCAGAGTACAATGGGAGGAGACAAACGGAAATCCAATAGACTAGCCAAGATCAGGACAAAAAACAAGCACAGTCAGAGAACGAAGCCGGGGTCGGTACATGAGTAGTCAATGCAGGATACAGGCAATGGCAACACGCAGGAACTCCGACATCTAGAAAGTTGCTAAGGCAAGGTGGCCTAGACTGAGCATGTCTTATATAGGCAGGCAAACAAGGAGGCGGGCCAGGAAGTGATGGAAGGGAAGGAAATAAAACCAGAGAACAGCAGTCGACGCCCATAGGTGAGCACAGACAAACACACATGTGAAAGGGATCAGGAACAGCACTGCAGCAAGGAGGTAAGAACACAAACAAGAAACTGCAGGCTAACTTGTGACATGGCCATTCAAGTTGAAGGGGCTGCATCATTGCGAGCCAAATACTAGCCCTATATAAAATTGTGATTTGCCAATTAGCCTTAGTGCTGTGGAAAAGTCCTGACTAAGAGACTTAGTAGTTTATCAACATTTCTTAAGTCAGAGCAAGGATAAGTCTAGACAGATATACTTAGCATACATTGTCATAAAGTCTTAATATCAGAATATACCTACACTATATTGCCAAAAGTATTGAAACACCCCTCCAAATCATTGGATTTAGGTGTTCCACCTCCATGTCCACAGGTGTATAAAATCAAGCATTTAGGCATGCAGACTGCTTCTACAAACTTTTGTGAAAGAATGGGTCGCTCTCAGGAACTCAGTGAATTCAAGCATGGTAACGTGATAGGTTGCAATAAGTCCATCCATAAAATTTCCATGATACTAGATATTCCACGGTCAACTGTTAGTGGTATTATAACAAAGTGGATGCAACTGGGAGCGACAGCAACTCAGCTACGAAGTGGTAGGCCACGTAAAATGACAGAGTGGGGTCAGCGCATGCTGAAGCGCACAGTGCTCAGAAGTCGCCAACTGCCTGCAGAGTCAATAGCTGAAGTACTCCAAACTTCATGTGGTCTTCAGAGTAGCTCAACAACAGTGCATAGAGAGCTTCATGGAATGGGTTTCCACAGCCGAGCAGCTGCATCCAAGTCTTACATCACCAAGTGCAATGCAAAGCATTGGATGCAGTGGTGTAAAGCACACTGCCACTGAACTCTAGAGCAGTGGAGATGTGTTCTCTGAAGTGATGAATCATGATTCTCTGTCTGGCAATCTGATGGACTGGGTTTGGCGATTGCCAGGAGAACTATACTTGCTTGACTGCAATCTACCAAGTGTAAAGTTTGGTGGAGGGGGGATTATGATGTGGGGTTGTTTATCAGGAGTTGGGCTTGGCCCCTTAGTTTCAGTGAAATACATTTTTGGACAATTTCATACTCCCATCTTTGTGGGAACAGTTTGGGAATGGCCCCTTCCTATTCCAACATGACTGAGCACCAGTCCACAAAGCAAGGCCCATAAAGACATGGGAGAGCGAGTTTGGGGTGGAGGAACTTGAATGGCCTGAACTTGACTGGTCTTGTGCAGAACACCTTTGGGATGGATTAGTGCGGAGACTGTGAGCCAGGTCTTCTCGTCCGAAATCAGTGCATGACCTCACAAATTCTGGAAGAATTGTCAAACATTCCCATAGACACACTCCTAAACCTTGTGGACATGCCTTCCCAGAAGACAGGCATCCCACTACTTTTGGCAATATAGTGTATAATAGCAGGATGGGGATGGGGGGGAAACGCATGCATTAAATCATGCAGAATATGGATCTAATTGTAAGTAAAAGAAAAACTTTTAGAGATTACACGTCTATTTCTAACCAAACCTTTTATTGTTTTGGATAGAGTCAGAGATATAACCTCTGTCGGGTTTTTCATGCTTATTTTGTGGTTTGATGATAGACCAACAAGCCTTTATGATATGATTTATAATTGATGTAAACTTATAGCACTTGTAGATTCTTGTTAAGATGAAGAAAAATAAACATTATAGAGTCAATCCACTGATGTGTGTCTACGGTACTTTTATTGTTTGCTGCATTCAACAAGTTTATTATTGATCATATTTATTTGATATGTAACAGCCTATTTGCACTGCCCACACACTAAACCACAGCGAACCACAGCGGCAGCTCTCTGTTCCGGTTGCAATGAGATGGTGATAGGAGGTGATATGATGCACATTTCAGTGTATCACACAATTCCTTTTTTTTCTGTGTTTCAACTTTATTTGAAGTGCACAAAGTCACTGCAAAGCAGTAAGGCGCACTGCACTGTTGTACAATGACATGCTTCCTGTGTGCCGTGATAAAATGAATTTTATCGCAGTTCATTGCACCGCACCTTTGGACCTGTAATGAAATGAGAGCAAATATCCCTAATGGATACATAGACAACAATATAATCCTAACAGAGGTTTTAAACCTTCCTTCTTCGCTCTAATAGGGAATTTTTTTAGAATGTTTCCTCTCCACTTCCTGTACTGTCTGACAGCTGTCAAATAGATAGGAAGTGGAGAAATATTCCCTTATTAATACAGATAGCAATAGATAGTTCATAGAGGTCCCAATTCTTTCACTCTTCAAAACTAAATGTAAAAAAAAGTTTGAGTCAGGAAACTTTGGATTCTGCAGGTTTGGCTTTAATAAATGCTCTTAATGGGTTACATATTGTTTTGGTTATTTTATCAAGCAAGAAAACTAATCCCTATTCTACATGACCACAGCAAGTTTAATGTCAAAGGGCTGTGTCCTTCTTATACTGTACATATCAGCCATCCTGTAAAATGATCAAGTTAGAAAGTAGTACTGCATCAATTATTTCTTCTCTTTTCCCTCCAGCAGGAAAGAACCACTTGTACAGCTGGAATTCTATTACAAAGGCAAACAACACAGTGTGCCTAACTCAAGTGCAGCCTGGTTAAGTACTCCATGTTCTCTATCTCAAAGATCACTTTATGTAATGAAGATCTGTGGAAGTGTCATGTAAATTTTATTAAACGATTGTTCTGAATGAGTGTTCCAATTTGCTTCAAAGAAACATTGGTAAGGAGGACCCTTGGAATAATTTCAGCACAAAGTAATGTAGATTAAGTGGCACTTATCAAGTAGTTATCTATTAGAATCAGGGCCCATCTTACATTCTTACATGATTGCTAGAAAAAAAAAAATATTCTTGACAGGAGAACATTTTATTTTCGAAATCTATATGACAATGTGGTCGGGATCAAAGGCCATTTAAATCAAATTTTTTGCCCCCACTCTTAGTTTCTGATGAAATCATTAAGGTTCTAGTAAATCCCAAAGAATGCATGTAGCAACTAACCACATTTAACCACATTTAACGATCAGCTTGTTTGAGTGTTTACAACCTGTTAGCTAACAAACTGGTCATTAGCTGGTAATAAAAATCTACTTTTCTCTTGTGTTCCCTTAATATCGCGATCAGATCCACCGAGCATCTTATTAAATAATTAGGGGAGTTTGATTGTAAGGTGCATTTTTCTTTAATGTTCCAATCTTGTACCCCAATTTCCATTATACTGTCTACCTATTTTGATAGGATAGTTACAGAGTTTCTGCAGCTATCATTGAATGTGTGAATTACTTTACTGTACACACAATACAACATTATACCATGGAAGCAAAAAGAGGACAGACAAAGATTTCTCTAAAGCCTGCTAATGAATTGGCCACAAGATGTCTGGATTTTCTAAACGGTGGCAATTATTACATAAACATACTGATTATTTAATATTTAAAACATATATCTAGCCTAAACTTTTTTGTCTTTGGATAGAGTAGGTATAAAAGTTAGAATCGCTATCAGGTTTGTATTGCTGTCTGTGGCCCTGCCCTGGTGGTGAGATGTCCCCTTGCTCCCTATCCTGGTGACAATGTTGTGGCTGTTACAGGAAGTAAAGGTAAATCTCCCATAGGGACACAACAAGCAACCGAAATACTAATTTTGCAGCATGGGGGAATCTTGTCAACTATTTATTACTGTGTGTGCTCCCACACTTATTATTTCCTATTCTCACTTCCTGCTCCTTTGTTATCAGAAAAGGAAGTGAGCAGAAATCTCCATCTGTGCCTGTTAGTATTATAACCATTCTCCGATCTGTCCAAATGGAAAAAACAAAACAGTGTTAAATTAAAAAAAAATAAAAACACATGACTTATTTTTTCAGGTGTTTGATTTGAGAATTGTCATAGATATGATAGAAGAGTAAACCTTTGAAATACACTTGTTAAACCATGGATAGCAGTTTTTAAGTTTCTAGAACAACATACTCAAAGAGGCGCTGGGAACTTTTAGATTTGCACATGTAACCAGAAAAAGAAAAACTTGAAACAAGCTCATAAGCTTTGGTAGGGCAGCTCCCACACAGAAAAGCTTTCCTCGGTGGGCACCCAACAGTAGGCCAAACCATAGAAACACAGTAAGGAACACCAGACCAAAATCAGATCACAAGGGCCGAGATCATATTAATTGTTGGTAAAAAATCATATCAAATCCTCCAATGCATTTCAGTGATTTCACAGGCCTATACTAAAACAAGTATTGAAATCTTCACATGGTGTAACAACTTGATAGCTGAGCAGCAATCGATAAGTTTTTAAATGGCTATTTTTCCTTTTTTTATTTAGAAAAACGTGGGAGGCTTTAATTAATAGATAGTTTCAATGCCCACAGAAGTTCTCACAACAGTGATAGTAGGCATTATGCTTACAGCAATAGAATGTATTTGCTGTAGGTGTAGGAATCGGTCATTTTCGCAAGTATTTGAAATTGCACAATAGGTTTTTTTAAGAAAGACACTCTGTAAAATAGGGAGGATGTTCACGTTAAAATAAAAAAAATGTTCAAATAATAAGTCCACACTTTAAAATATATGTAACACAAAAAAAATGTGCACAAAAATGTCTAAATGTGATAAACCACCACCAAAAAACTAAATAAACTCACCAGAGCTAAAAAACAAAAACATGTATTGCTCTGGGAGCGATAATATAATGGCAAGTCATTCGTAGATATATCTTCAGGAAATGATATTCTGCAGAACACCGATCCACATTGACCAATTTCAGATGGAGCAAAATACTTTCAAATTATCATCAAGGAAATCCACTTCTCCAAAAAAGCCACCCTTAATCGTATCCAAGGAAGAAGATGCCAGACACTTGGAAGAAACAAAAGAACTTCATGGTGCAGTATTATTAAAAACCAAATTCCTTTATTAGGTACTCATTGCACTTAACTCAGGAGGTGTCCCAGCCGACACCAGTGTCAACAGCATACAGCAATCACAGAAAACGAACCCAGCTACTCAGCACATGCGCAATAATAAGTGTGGACTTATTATTTGAACTTTTTTTATTTTAATATTATTCATGCATATATATATATTTTTTGTTCCACGGATATATTTTTATATTTACTAGCGCAAAATATTTTTTGTACTAATCGTTACACTTTATTTATTTATGGTGATTTTTTGCAGCTGGTATATCACAACAAGTGATTTATATATAATTTTGTTTTTTCCATAGGCACTATTATATATATTTTTCTAGGATGTTCACGTTACCTGCAGGTACTGGAATTAGATCACAAAGAGAATTTCAGATAATAAAGGCAGGAAAAATTTAAGGCAGAACTACACAATTTTTTCCATCTCAAACTTTATTAATACAGGAAACCTGAGAGAAACTGCTATTGCCAACCTCCTTCTAAAAATGCTAGTTGTATGGTGTTTTGCTTCAATACTGGGTCAATGACCTTTGTGGTTCTCGATTTTCATTCATACTCTATGGTATCTCTATACCACAAAGAAAGTTGGATGACTTCCGTTTGCCGTGTGCTGTGATTACAGGTCTGTCAGAGAGCAGGTAGATATATAATGCCCAGTATATGTCACTGAGTTGAATTCCATGCTGATTAATGGTGAAGTATCTCCACTCAAATGCCAAACTGCCTCGCTCAGCCCAGTCTGCCCCAGCATGGAGACTATGGAATTCTGCATCCCACTCTCTCAAGTTTTGGTTATGGTTTTCAGAACAAAGAAATATTGGGGGATAGCTACTAAAACTGGTGCACTTTTAATCTGGTGCAAGTGTGCATGGTACCCAAACAGTTTGTTCAGTTAAGCTTCGGAAATAAAACC